TAGCATAGTGCCTAAGGCACTTGACTGCTAACCAGAAGGCTGGCAGTTCAAACCCACCAGCCACTCCTCGGAAGGAAGGTTGGGCAATGTACTTCTGTAGTGATACTAAAAATACCATGTCTTGTGTCAGGACCACCTTAGTCCTCAAGGAGACATCTTTGCTCTTCAGCACTTGAAAGAGGTCCTTTGCAGCTGATTTGCCCAGGGCTATATGTCATCTGGTGTCCTCCTCTGCTCCCATTGGCATCAATTGTAGAACCAAGCAATATGAAGTCTTTGACAATTTCAACCTTTTCTCCATTTATCATAATGCTGCTTATAGGTCCAGTTGTGAAGGTTTTGGTTTTCTTTATATTGAGATGTCATCCATACTGCAGACTGTATTCTTCAATCTTCATGAGTAAGTGCTTCAAGTCATCCTCACTTCCAGCAAGCAAAATCGTGTCATCAGCATATGGCAAGTTGTTAAAGATTCTTCTTCCAATCCTGATGCCACATTCTTCTTCATATAGTCCAGCCTCTCCAATTATTTGCTCAGCACACAGAATGAATAAATATGGTGAAAGGATGCAATGCTGACACACTCCCTTCTTGATTTTAAACCATGCAGTGTTCCCTTGTTCTGTCTGAATGACAGCCTCCCAGTCTATGTACAAGTTCCTTATAAGTACAATTAAGTGTTCTAGAATTCCCATTCCTCTCAACGTTATCCGCAATTTGTTATGATCCACATAATCAAATGCTTTTGCATAGTCAATAAAACACAAGTAAACATCTTTCTGGTATTCTTTGCTTTGACCCAAGATCTATCTGACATCAGCAATGATATCCCTCATTCCACATCCTCTTCTGAAACTAGCTTGTATCTCTGAAAGTTCTCTGTCAATATACTGCTGCAACCGTTTTTGAATTATCTTCAGTAAGATTTTACTTGCATGCGATGATAATGATACTGTTCAATAATTTCCATTCTGTGGGATCATCTTTCTTTGGAATGGGTACAAATATGGATCTCTTTCAGTCAGTTGGCCAGGTTGCTGTCTTCCAAATCTCTTGGCATAACCGAGTGCCTCCAGCGGGGCATCTGTTTGTTGAAACATCTCAATGGGTATTTCATCAATTCTTGGAGCCTTGTTCATTGCCAATTCTTTCAGTGCAGCTTTGGCTTCATCCTTCGTTATCACTGGTTCTTGAACATATGCTACCTCCTGAAATGGATGAAGATTGACGAGCTCTTTTTGGTACAGTGACTCTGTGTATTCCTACCATCTTCTCTTGATGTTTCCTGCATCATTCAATATTTTGCCCATAGAATCTTTCAGTATTGCAATTTGAGACTTAAATTTTTTCCTGAGTTCTTTCACCTTGAGAGATGCTGAGCATGTTCTTTCTTTTTGGTTTTCTAACTCTTGGTCTTTGCACATTTCATTATAGTAATTGGATTTGTCTGAGTGAGCTGCTCTTTGAAATCTTCTGTTCAGCTCTTTCATCTTGTGATTTCTTCCATTTGCTTTAGCTATTCTTTGCTCAAGGGCATGTTTCAGAGTCTCTTCTGATTCCATTTTGATCTTTTCTTTCTTTCTCATCTTTTTAATGACCTCTTGCTTTCTTCATGGATGATGCTCTTGATGTCATCCCACAGTTCTTCTGGTTTTCAGTCACTGGTGTTCAGTGCATCAAATCTATTCTTTAGATG